TGCAAAAAAAAGGGTGTGAACAGTAATAGTCAAATTCACTGCTCCGATACCTTATGTAAACTTGAGAATATATGGTTTGGAAAGAAAAGAAAAAGTAGAGGTAAAAGGTAGGAAAAGGTTCTTGATACAGTAGAGAAGAAGGAGAAAAAAAGAAGAGGAGAAAAGGGTTTCCAAGGAAGAAGATTTGAACCAGTCTCTCCCCCTTGTTGACCTAAACTTTTATTTTATTAGAAATAGATGTGCAAATTACAGAATTACTCCTGTTAAGTGGTTCTTAAGAAGGAACTTACCAAACCATATTCAAAAGAGAAAAATGCCCCTTACGGGCATACATTTCAACACAATCCACATGAATTATTAGCCAATTCAAAATGAGTAGGCTAATGTGAGCATAGATTCTTCTATTATATTTTCTTATTGTATTTTACATTTTTCAAAAAGCCATAAGAAAATCTAATGGTGATAATCATGTGTAAAGAGTGGTTCTCAAGAAAAGAAAATCAAATAAAGCTGCAGTCCTTTTGGTTATTGATACATGTCAAACATTATTTTCATGCCTGTCAGCTCAACTCAATAGGGCTTTATCCCAACTGCATGAGTTATGTTTCGTCATTTCACTGTATTAAGGGTCATTTCCATTGCTAAATTCTGAGCCTTAAATCATTTCTCACTACCTCAGGTCCTCGACCTTTGTTATTTTTGCTCCTCTCCTAGATATCCTTGACCTTCAAGTTGAATCATATCACTTCTTAGTTCTTACTGGTGCAGTACGTGGTCTTTTCTGGACATGCCTAATTTGGTTTACTTGCTGTTTTTTGATCACCTATTAATTCTATTACTGAATCCCCACAAATATGTTTATTTCTAATCATTGCTTTCCTGCTTATCTATCTCAACATCCACATCTCTGCTATACTCATCTTTATTGACATATTGCTTGGCTGTCCAACAGTTAGGCCTTATATCCGTCTTCTAAAAATTTTGCTTTTCACCTACTTCTGGGGTTCACTTGATCAAATGTTTACTTTAACTATGGGCAAAAGTCATCATGAGTATTCATGAGCTCTTGGATAATGGATGGGATGCAAGAGCATTGGCAAGGGCAAACCAAGCATCTCATTGGAAGGCCATCAATAAAATCTTACCTCTTTTTCCTTCCTTTTATTAGATATAATCTTTGCAGTCGCAATGGTATTAAGTTCTGGGAACACACATGGTTGAGATCTTCTCCTTTGAAAGAACAATTCCCCTCTTTATGCCCTAACTTGCTTCAAAAATGAACCTATCTCCAAGTTCCTTGTTTCTTCAAATTCTAGCAATGGTGTAAGTTAGGATTTAGGATTCAGGAGGGCTATAAGAGATTCTAAGCTTCAAAATTTGATGAGCTTGATCCAATTGTTGGAGGAAGTATTCCTTGTGCTCCATTCTTTAGAGCTCTTTCCCAGTCCTCCATTAGTCCTTTGCTCACTTTCCCAACTAAGGAGATTTGATGCAAGCCTATCCTATTAGCAGTGGTGCATTTTGTTGGGAAGCTATCCACAAAAAGTTTAATATTTGTGATTTGCTTCAAAGAAAGCACAAAAATTGGAGCTTATCCCCACACTGGTGTCTTATGCAAAGCTAACGGTGAGTCTGGTTACCACTTATTCATTTCTTGTAATTTTACTGTATCTATTTGGGAATGGTTCATCCAAGGCTGAAAATATCGATACAGGGTGATATGCCAGTAAGGGCGTATCGGCCTGTATCAGTACTGTTTTTTTTGTTATTTTTTTATTTTTTTCAAATCTGGTTCAGAGGGGCCGGTCTACCCCCTGAACCACTCGCCTACCTGAAACACCCCCTGTAGGGGCGTATCGGGAAGGCTTCGATACGATATGTATTGGCCGATACGGTTCGATATGTGATGATATTTTGAACATTGGGTTCATCTCTTTGTTTGGATGTAGGTCGAGTCCCCTGGTTGATTGCAAAGCCTATTTGCTCCAACTTCCTTCCTGGGGCCAAATAAGAGGGGAAGATTTTTGTGGACTTGTGGAGATGCACTAGAGCAGAAATATTATGGATGATATGGGAAGAAAGGAATTCAAGAATTTTCATGGAAAAGGAAAGAAGCAAGGAAGGCTTGATTGAAATAATAATGTTCAGGGTTGCCCATTGGATAAAGTCTTTAGACATATTCTCTAGTGTTACTACATATGACATCCTTAGAAATTGGAAGGAAGTGGCAGTTTCTACTCCAAACAAGATTGGTGCTATTCATGTTTGGTCTCCACCAACACTGGGGTTTATCAAGCTCAATTTTGTTGGTAGCAGCATGGGAAATCCAGGACTATCAGGAATTTTGTTGGTAGCAGCAGAGATGAGGTTTTGGCAATGATGGGAGTGCAAAGGGAAAGGACTTCGAATGTGAGGAAATTAATAGTGGAAGGGGACTCACAATTGGTGGTAAACTGGCTTCAAAGTGAGGAAATGAAGATATGGATCTAAAAAAAAAAAAATTCAGGTGGTTAACAAGGGGCATGGAAATCTCCTTCAATTGGTGCAAGTGTAATGCTAACTCCTTTGCAGATACATTGGCCAAACAAGGGGTGGGACGACAAGATCTATTCTAGGCACAATTGTAAGGAAGGGGTGCTGTCAATGGGAGAGATAAGCTCTTTTATCTCTCACTATCATTACCTGTACCGTACCATTTTCCTAATCTTAATGAAAGTTTACAGTTATTGATCCAAAAAGAATCAGCCTTAGCCCCAACTATTTTAGGTTAGCTACATGAATCATGTCCTGCCATTGTGATGTATCAGGAGTAGGGGTGCCAATTGGACCAGATTTGGTGCAATCCAATATGAATCCATTACAGATGGACTAGGTCCAATCCAACCCAATGAATACTTTGGACCAATTTGGACGGTCAAGTTCAATGTTTGGACGGTCCTATCTGTTCAAATTGATTATAATTTAGATTGGTTCCAACCCAAAACCGGTCCATTGACACCTGTATGCATATCTTCTATCAATGGACTGGATAATGGGTCAAATATTCAATCTGACCCAATGCAATATAAATCCATTACAGATGGACCAGGTCCAATCCAATTCAATAAATACTTTGGTTCAATTTAGACTGGTCCAGTTCAATGTCCTATTGGTCCGTCCAATGCATCCAAATTGATTTTGATTTGGATGGGTCAAACCCAAAATCGGTCCATTGACACCCCTAATCAGGAGCAATGTTTTTTTGTCAATTTGTCAAATTATAAGTCTTGATTTCTGTCAAATAATAAGTCTAACCGTGTACTCAGAAATTCCAGCAACTGCAATCAGTTTTATTGGAGACCTTACACTGATCAAATGAAGCGAGAATATGGTGATTGACTTCACCTTTTGTAAATATTGAGAGTTATAAGCACCTCAATTTCTGCCCAGAATTTGTCCATGCAAAGTTCTGCCTGCTCTTCCTATTGCTACTTTGAACTTTAGTATAGACTTTCTAAAGCCATCTACATCAGATTCCCATTTATTCAAATGAAATTTCTTTCTTCCACCCCTATCACCTATTCATCCCATAGAAAAGTCTTATTTTTTAAGACTTTGTTTGCTACATGTTATAAGAAAGTAGACTAAGATGGTTTGATCATGTGCATAGAAGACCATGAAAGAACGCATAAGAAGTGATTTATTGCAATTGAAGTGGCCAGAAGGGTTTGGGGTAGACCAAAACGGACATGGGTAGAAGTGGTAAGAAAGGATTTAAGTTCAATAATTTATGAGCCAACCCCATATAGTTGGGATAAAGCTTGGATGATGATGATGATATGCGCTGATGCTTTAATAATACAAGGATAGTAAATTAGCATACTTTAGATCTTTAGTATGCATGGTGCTGGATTTCTGGTCTGCCCTGAGATACACATGCATTTCTAACCGGTCAATATTTTTCCCACTTTCAATAACTGGTTGCCATCTTGAAAATGAAGAAGCCTTCACACCAATCTGAATACGTTAGTGAAAAGTTACCAGTCTTGCATCTAAGAGCCTATATATATGCTGCATATATATATAATCAAGTTGGTTTAATATCGCCAACACTTACAATCACACTTTTGGTAAGTTCATTTTAAGCCCTGACAACGCTTCTAAACACTTGAGGGTCTGACTTCTGATTCATCTCATTCTTAACATGTTTTGAGATTAATTGTTGGTCCTAATATTCATTGAAGATGCCAATGAAGCAGTCTGAACAAGGCATCAGAAGAGAGACTGTTATCAACTTGTGACTTTTGGCCAGTTGGTTCATGCATCATCTTTAGCTCTTTGATGCCAATATAAGCAGCAATAATGGTACACATATATAAGCTGATAATTGCCACCTTCAAATGAAGAGAGAAAAACTCCAGATTATGATTGGCACTCCTTGTATTAACTACACCCTAAGAAGAAAATAAAGAAAGGAACATGGGAAGGTGAATAGAACGATGAGAAAATAAAAGAGACATGGATCAGATTTTTCTCTAATACCATGTTGAATTAAGAAGTAAACTTGTAATTTGACTCATAACATAATGAAGTAGTGAAGATAGGCCAAGCGATAAGTTGCTCCGTTCTGTTCTGTACTAATGAATAAATAATAATGGGGTACCCTCCATTGTTTTAATTACTCTTAAATCTTAATGATAATTATGTACAGGAGTTCTCAGCCTTTGGATCCCTGTCAATTCCAGATCCATGCGAGGCTGAACAAATTCCATTAATGGGAATGATGCTATTTGGGCTGAAAAAAAATCCAAGTCTTTGGATTGTTTTTCCTTTTTTTTTACTAATCATCATCATTATCTTCATGTTATTCATGTTGTGGACTCATGCATGAATGCCTTTGTCTACACCCTTGCTCATCGCAAAGTCTTTCTTTTGTTATTACTCATTTCTTCTCGTCTTGATGAATAGTTTTGTAGGAAATCTTTGATATTCATAGATACCACTATTTTCATATGTTGCAGGAGGAAGATGCTCAATGCATGTTGGGATTGGTTTTATATAGTCTGGATCGCCTATACAAGGCTGTGGAGCGGCATGCAAAAGCAACAGGCGAATGGCTAAGGTTAGTAGTACTTTTTTGTTTCAGTTAGGCTTTTTGATTTTATCAGAACGGAAAATGAAAAAAGCAATATGTACCTAATGAATGAATGGTTTCTGCATATAGTTTGAGACAGGATATCATTGATTTGGCAAAGCCCGACTTGCAAACTGCATATAAACTCACAGTGACATCACGCATAGGACGAGTTTATGATTGCTTGCTTCCTTCATCAAAACTTCAGTAGCATCTTGTATTATTTCCCCTTATGTTTTCTTTGTTTTTGTGAGGCTAAAACTTGATTTTGGGAGAGCATTGAGTCATTTTTACCCTAATGAAAGGGCAAATTGCCCATTATCTTGGCATCTATTCTCTGTAGCAAAGATCACTTGTAGGTGGTTATCGGTGATAGGGAGAATTTGTTCAGAACATATCCAGCATCATCTCCTCTGGTTGAACTGTTGAAGCAGAAATGCTGGTGGTATGGAAGCCTACCTGTCAGAATGCCAGTCGCAGTTTGTAACTAAGCTATGCTGTGCTACTATAGATGTTTCTTGTGTCTGGAGCTATTTGTATATTCGCAGAATGGAAAGTGAATGAGCAATGATCAATTTCATTTCAATATAAAATTTTTATTATATTTATGCATAACGCTTTTCTGATAGTCTAAATCTACATCGATTAGTATTCCATTCTTCATTTATGGAGAATGATCAAGGATAGAGTTGTATCTGACTAGATATCTTTTCTCTAGGGTTTAGCGTATATAAATGCGGATCGGCTATTTTGGTCTGATACAACAAGGTTGAAAACCTTGTTTATTTATGTTGCCATATTTTCAACAAGGTTGACTGGATATATATGTTGAAAATATGGTTAAGAAAGGGTTTTAGCCTTTTAGGACACGATTTGAACAAGGTTGAAAATATGATAACATATCGGTGCATATCGTACAGTATATGGTTTATTTTAGGGCTATTCACGGGTTGGGTTGGATTGGTTTACTGAGGTTTTTTCAACCGATCCGACTTGGTCACATTACCTGAGATGGAAATCGAAACTGACCCAATGTTAAGCAAAATCGATCTGGTCGGGTTACCTGAGATGGAAACCGAAACCGATTCAGTGTTAGCAAAACCGACCTGGTCGGTTTGAGTTGGGTTGGGTCGGTTTGGGTCGGTTTCGGCTCTAAGTTCATCCATACCCCTCATGACCCATGTGCCTATGTGGTGCAAGTTTGTGTTGTCAGATATTTTAGTTTTTATGTAAAACTGAAATATCTTTATTTAATAGTTTTAAATATAAAATATATTTAAATTAAAACTGATATATATATTTAAATAGATTAGGCCAATTTAATTTAAAATCAAAATATATATTTAAATAGATTATATTTAAATAGTTAAGTAAGAACTAAGTCGGTTCGGTTTGGGTTGGTTTCGGCTTTCTTGTATGAAAACCGAAACCGACCCGAACCATCGGTTTATGAATTTGTACAATCCGAAACCGATCGGTGCTGATGAAAATCTGGCCGACTTGGGTTGGGTCGGTCCGGGTTGGTCGGTTTGGTCGGGTTGGGCCTTCTTATGAACAACCCTAGTTTATTTATTAATTTTTGGGATAAATAGACTGCACTCCACCTCAGATCCTGCCCGTGGATTTGGCATCGATTCACGGTGTTAGGATTCTCCCACCTGTACGGTGGAAATAAGATTTCTAAGAGTGGACAGAACGGTAAAAACCCCTTTATGTTTTTGAAACTGCTTTGACCACTGGTTTCCGGGTCAGTAGTTTGACCGTCTGAGTTGAATGATTCAGGCGGTTTGATGTATTGGTTGTTGGCTGTCAGCTGGAAAAGAAAAAGAGGAGATAGTGGTGGTTCAACGGCGATTATGATGGTTCACCACAGATCTGATCTCAGATCTCAGATCTCTCAATTTCTATCCAATTAACATTGTTTATTTATTTTTTCCTCTTTCAAATCAGCCCCCCACAATGTTCCACAGCACATCACCGCCGTGTATTGAGAATATCTCCCGATGATAATATTAAAAACGATGATGTTATCATTGGGAGATGTTTCCAATACATGGCGGAAATATGCTGTGCGACGTTCTAGGGGGCAATCTTGTGGGGGTCTGATTTGAACTCCCCATCTTCAACCATTCAAAAACCATGTCTTTTCTTAATGAACAGTTCCACAGGACAGAACTAGCTGGTTAAAGTTGAAGGTGGCGAAACCCATGGTTTTTAAAACCGACTCGGAGATCGAACCGGTCAGGGGTCTGGTTATCGGGTTGAACGATCTGACCGTTTGAACCAAATGGTCGGCCCGTTTTGACAAAAAAAATAAAAAAATAACAAATGGTCAAGACCGTTCGGACGGTTAATCACCTGGGTCAGCGATTTGCTGATCAAAATCAATGGTTTTGGGCAAATTACCGATTTTGGAGAAAACCGAAACTGGTCACCTGACCGGTTCCCGGTTTTTCCGGTCTGACCGTCCGGTCTGATCCGGTTTTGAAAACCATGGCGAAACCAACTGTAGATTTGTAGAAAGAGTACTGCTGCCCTAGCTTTCATTTCTCTCATGGAAAAAAAATCTATGAAATAAGTCATCAATTAACAAGAAAAATTGGAAAAAAAGTTCAAAGATCCACTGCACAAAAAAATCTCCTTTAACTGTTCTAGATATGAACCCAAAGACAAATAGCTTTCTCCATATGCTATTTTGCATTCTTTTATTGATGGATGGGCTTCCTTAATGATGAATGACCTTATCCAATTTGGGCTGAATTTCCTATTATACTTTTCTTGTCACAGATGTAGTACCATTTTAAGGACTTTATCGCCCTTAATTTGTCTCTGTAGCCTCTATCCATGTATCTCGACAAGGGTGTCTGACCTGTCATACATTTGTTGGTATATGCTCTCTGTATGATATTGCTTATCCATCGCATAAGCTACCCTTGCTGATACCATCTGTATTTTCGCTGGTAAGATTACCTCGTCGCCATAGACCAAATCATAGGTGTATTCTTCGTGGCTTTCCTTATGGGTGTTCGGTATTTACCCAAACTGTACTTAATGGCTTATCAACTAATCAACCTTGTCCTTTTGGTTTTCACTTATTATTTCACTCAGTATCCTAATGAATAATGATAGTTTTGTTAATAGCTTCTATTTGACCATTCCCCTGTGGGTAATAGGTGGTTGAATTGATTAATTGTGTTTCATAGAATCGTAAGAGGTCTCTAATTTCTTTGTTTTTGAGTGGCAATCTGTTGTTGGTTAATATCCTCATGGGTACTTTTAAAGTGGTAGATGACGTATTGTCTAAACAAATTTGTGATGCTGATTGCAACCAATTTTTTCAAAAGTATAACCTCTACCCATTTGGTGTTGCTATTCGTATAAAATTGTATCTTTGTAATGGGATGTGATTTTTCCAATTAAATTTATTCTCCATGTGTTAAAGGGCCAAGGGGTGATGATGGAATGCAACTCATGAGTGGGCTGATGAATCCTTTTGGCGTGGGGCCAAAATGATGGTTGTATTATTTTTCTACTAGGATTATTAGTTTTGTTTTATTATGTCTATAAAGAGCCCATTTTTTAATGGATCATTTATAACAAAACCCATAGGGGAGAAACAAATGTGTGGTGGTGGTGGTGATGGGTATAAGGGTTTAAGCTAAGGGTCATCATTTCAAAATAGAACCTAAAGCAAGGGTTTTATTGTTTATGTGAAGGAAAAGTTTTAGGATAAATTACACGGACCCCTGTAATATGGGGTTTGTGACAAAGAACCTTTGCATTTTTTTTTTGTGACAAAGACCCTTCTATACTTTGGCCGTTAGACAAAGATCCTCTCCATCAGTGTTCCGAAAATGATTCTATTTTTGCAGTTACCATATTTTATAATTTTTAAATTGCCCTTATGATAATCTTGTGAACAATTTTACCCACTTTCTTCTCTACTGTGTTGAAACATCTAGAGCTGCCACCCTTAAGTACATATCTTGGCCACTGTCCATGATGTATTCCTGGAGATCAAACAGATTGTTGATTCGCTGATCTAAAACACAACCGCTTCCACCTCTGATGAGTTTTGGTATTTGTGTTAAGTTGCAAAAGAATAATTTTTCCAGCATTTGACTTTGCATTCCTAAAGACTTATGCTTTGGTTTACAAATGCTCGAGAACTATCTGGCAGCTTCACCCCATCAATTTTAAGAACTCATCATCCTTCTGAGACACGAACTCGCTTTGGGCTTGAATCCCTTCACACTCACAGATGGGTGAAGCATTGCTGCTGCCAACACCATAAGACCTACAGAGTTAGAGAAGAGTCAGAGCCTCAGAGGAGATTGGAGCTTGGAGCGTGGAAAGATAGTTAACATGCTCCAGAGTAGATGGAGGGGAGTTTACATGGCAATGGAACACGTAGCTCTTTGTAAATTTCAAAATTTATAGAGTAAAGACTTTAATGGCAGTCTGGACTCCAAAGAAACTGCCCCCACACAGCCGGTAAGACTTTAATGGCAGTCATGGCAGCGATTTGCTACATTCTTTCATTCTATGGCATAACCGAGTGCTGGTCTTGGTAGCTTAACCTCAACCCATCGGGACGACTTGGCTAGATTTATGTTTCATCTTCAGACCCTGCTGAACTATTTATTCAATTGATTAGTTTAGGCTTTGAAAATTTTGGGTGGAACACTTTTGTTACCTAGAGGTTTCCAATGTTCATCAAATTTACGCTCTTCAAAGTTTGGGTTGAACGCCTTGGTTACCTAGAATTAGAATTTGGGTCGAATACTCTTATTTAGATTTCCGAATATAATAAGAGTGGAAAGCATATGCTCTGTTTCTCTCTCTCTCTCTGTCCCATTCATTGTTAACTATTTTTCTCCCATTAAAAGTGACTGGATCCTTTGGAGCATAATGTCGCGTGTGTTGTTTGGTGTATCATGTGTACCTAAACAATGCAATAGCATATTTTGCCGTAACCGAAGGTATTTTGTTCGGTTACGGCATTTCATGTGTGTCCTTTGGTGTTGAGTAATTTTGGAATGTGAGGGGAATTTGTAGATTGTTGTTTTCTTCACGAATTTTAGGACTGAAGCAAACGATGGGGTGGTTTCTTCACGGTTGTTATCTTAACCGGTGGCCACCATCGATGAGTAGTTTAAGAATTATTGGATGTGATTGATAATTTGAGAGAAAAAAAAAAGTTTTATTTTAAGAGGGAAAGGGTTTTCTCGAAATGAAAAGAAAATACAAAAAGTTTTGATGGGTATTTCAGTAATTTAACATATTACGTTATTTGACTTAATGACTAAGGGGTCTTTGTGTAACAGTCAAAGTACAGAAGGGTCTTTATCACCAAAAAAGTGCAGGAAAGTCTTTATCACAGATCCCATGATACAGAACAGGGAGGGAGTCCGTATAATTTACCCAAAGTTTTATACTCTTACCAATTACCACTGAAATCGATTGACAGTGGATTGCATCTGACAAATATGTGGCGGTATTGGTTCAACTAGAAGGAAAAATTCCTCCAATCCAAACGCAGACGATGTGTTGGCAGCTTGACAACAATACGCTACAGTGGCAAATGAAAAAAGGGGATACTGTTATG